ATCTTCGCGAAAAACAGATACCTCAATTAGGTCCTAAAATTAGTATTGACTCGGGTCAGGACCCATAGTAATGCTAGCATGATACTCATTAAGTATTCAACAGTACTTAAAGTAGTATTTCGTCACCATACAATAACCAGCTAGCATGAGTGTGAAGATTTAAAATCTAATGGTTTCGTTGCAGTGATGACCTTTGTGACCAAGATCCGGGATTTCAGAGACTAGAAAGCTGTGCCGCCTTTGGTTACTGGGGCGGTAGTTTATTCGGGCGAGCTGTGGGGTGAACAGCGGGGAGAATACTATCCTTGGGGATCATAGCACGCGCTTTGGCGAGGCGTTCTGCCAGAGCAAGGTCCTTGTTCGGCTGTTTAGGTACACCATCAGGACCAAAAACATTTCCACTTATAACACGAGCGCAGCGGCTACTGAATTCAGCGATGGCATTTGCCACCTCGTGTGGGCAATCTTCTTGGATGGCGTGTCCTGATGAATACATGAGCCTCATCTCAAATTTGCCCATCATTTGGCCACGCATGAGCTCCGTGTCCAGGCGGTCAGAACCTAAGACGTGGAAAACGATAGCCCGAGTTAGCAATTAGCACTTGAAAAGGAAGTTTAGTGGCAATCCTTACCTGCGAGCACTAACACCTTGGCTTCCTTCAGTGACAAAAACTGCTTCGAAAGCCCAATAAACCAATCTGTAGATCATAGCAACAGCGATTAGAGAGCGCTGCAGTCGCCACAAAGAGCGATACAAAAAAGACGCTTACCGTGCCAGTATTTTGCACTGCTGGCCAGGTCCGTCCTCCAGACCAACGAGCCGTCTTCAAGCTGCGTTAGCTGAGACGGGATTGAAACTTCGACAGCTTCCTGGTTGTGAACAGTGCCGCTGTGTAGCGCCCAGTGGATGGCATCCTTGTATGAGCGGAAGCGAGACGGACGTCTTTCAAGGATCGCGCCCATGTGCTTCAGCGACGCCATGGCTGTGCCCTCCACCACATCGATCACCATCACACCCACCAGAGACGGCACCTTGCCCGTGGCAGCGACTCTAACGGCGAGTGCACCACCCAGACTGGCATCAGCAATACCGGCTGTCAATTAACACTCGCCTACCAGCATTCTGCAATAATTTACGTACCTGTGACCGACGATGATGCTTTGCGGGTTCTCTGAGTCAGCAGCTCCGTCGGTCTTTGGAGTCATTGGCGGAATGACGTGGTTCAAGATGTGTAGTGTGTCTTGTACCAGTGTATCGATGCACAGATCGTCGTCATGAGCTGTGTGGGTCTGGCCATGGCCTCTCAAGTCGAAGGCGTGCAGCGTACACGTCTCTTTCAGCATTGCCTACAGATAAATAGATCGAAACATTCGTATCAAATGGTTGCTACAGCATAGGCTGCATAGCTGCTTACCGTGACGAGACACCAGGTCATGGACGTGTACCCTCCGCCATGTAGCAGCACCACGTGCGGACCTTGCGAGCCTGCGCGATACACGCGGAACGACTTCAAAAAGGGCAAAAACAAAGTAAGGGATCGACTCCACTATGAGGCTGTAAAGTTTATCACCATCTAACTTACGTCTCCATTGGGCAGCTCCAGGTCCTCCTTGGAGTCGAAGTACTTGGTCCAGACGTCATCGTAGATATCGCTCGTGTCCGCCATGGTGAAGTCTTTAAAAGTGATGCTTAGGCTCTGGATTCACGTCATGATTGGTTGAAAAGGAATACGGTTATCAGCGAATCACACGACTATTCATTATTGCTGACATTAGGTCAAGCGTCAAGCGCCACTGACAATGCTGGTCCAAGGACTTGCGCGCCACCTGGCGAGGGCAGTGGGAGAGAGGCGGGAGGCTTGGTGCAGCTTGGTTGAAGGTCTCAGCGCGCTGGAAGCCTCCAGAATTGCAGCAGTGGCACTCACAGTCTCAAGCACCGACACATAAGGAGAAATGGCTGCATTGGCTGACCAGGAGACCTCCGGTCCACGACTTATCCAGGTCAATAGCGCCATGCGCGACCTAGGCTCCGTCGTAAGTGATGAGTATGGCACCTTTGAGGTGTCCATGATCGAGGCCGAGTCCGACTTTGACGACCTGGGCAGACACAAACCCGTCCTCAACCGGTGCGAACGCGCCTGCTACGCATGCTCGGAGGAGTGCCTGTTCATCTGGCTGCTGCTGTCCGCTCCCTTCCAGATCATGACATACAAGACATTACTGTTTCACGCCGCGAACTTTGTATTTTCGGTGGCCGCACTCGGTTGCGTTATCGTGCTGTACATGGCCAAGCTACCGCTGTCTTTGACTACGGCATGCGTTGTCAGGTTCCGACACACTGAGACGTGGATACTACGGCATCTGCTGCAATTCGACTGCGCGCTGTTCAATTGTATATCGCCACCCGGTGAGCGGGTCATGGTTTACAGCCCGTCCGTCCACATGCAGCAGGAAGAGGGACTCTACGGCATGTACGCTCAGCTCTACTTTGGCGGGATTAAACTGCTGACCACGGGCATCCCCGGCGCAATTGCAGCAGTCATGTTCTTCTGGTCACTGCAGAATGCCATCGCGACAACCATACAGCTCGGCAGCGACTCGGAACCAGAAGCGAGCTCTATCTACGGCCACTCGCTGAGCTCCTCCCACGAGCTGGACGTGATGACGGTCGTGGCCATCGTGGCCATCTACGCCTGCGTGCTGCTGATCCACGTCTTCGCCTTCATCTCACGGCAGTTCACGATATTCTTCTGCTCGCAGTATCTGCTGTACGCTGGCGGCGCGTAGTCAAGTTCGCTGTAATCATTTCGACACAATATCAGGCATTATTACTACTCACAGGTTACGATGTGGTGCACATATTTCTGGGTTTACACACCATTTTTCTAATCCCCCTTTAGCATAGGCGGTCTCAGTATGAAAAATACTGGCGCTGGGTGAACCGCAAGATCGAGCGAGGATGGACCACGGCCGCAAAGGCCTGACGCTCATCGGCGAGCGCGTGCTGCATCACTGGGCGGATAACGGGCGCTCTGATGTGTATGTAGAGCATTTAGACACTGAGATGGGCTCTGAATTGCCGCAGAACTAACGAACCGTGTATGGTACTACAGACTGAAGAGTGTGGCGCGCGGCTTGGACGACTTCTCCGGTCATGAGGCGGACTCTGGTGCGTGTTTCAACTGGTTTATGGTGCTTTTACGTCTTGACTAACCGCTGCTTGCTGTAGAGTTGCCGCGTCTGTTGTATGAGCTCGTGTGGATCGTTTTAAACGCCAAACTAACCAAACAGGAGATGCTGGGGCTGCTGAAGGAGGCTGAACTGGTACATACACCCGCTGAAGCTATTATTTTACTTTTTCTTTAGTGTTTTAATCTTCTCTACCCTGAAGATGAAGCATCCGAAAGCTTGCGACCTCCTGACTGACCTGTTGTGGGTCATCAGCAACGAAGTGGAGGCCAGTGAGCGTGGCCATGAGCGCCACACATCGAGAGAGTGGCGCAATCTTTGTGCACTAGTGAAGACCATCGCAGACGAGAAGCTCGTGCCTCTACTGAACCTGAAGGGGCTACTCGAGTTCGACCTCCTACACGACGCTGAGCTGGCACTGGAGCCGCAGTTGCTGGTCAAGAAAATGGTGCGTATCAACACCAAGACGCTGTATACTCAGACCAAGTACAACCTGCTGCGTGAGGAGACAGAGGGCTTCTCCAAGGTGCTGTGTCTACTACACACAGGTGTAACCAAGAGCCAGCTCGAAGCAACCAGAACGGACTTAATGGCGCTCATTGGCTTTTTCGATTTGGACGCTAATCGAGTCTTGGACTTGGTACTGGACGCCTACGAGATGCACCCGAGGAACGACTGCTTCGCTCAGCTTTTGGACATTTTCAAGCGCGAGAGTTTACCTCACATTATGGGCTTCAAGTTCCAGTTCTACAAGCGTGATCCGCCCGCAGTGGAAGGAGTCACGACGCCACGTTCGCTGTATCGACTCGCTGCCACGTTGCTGAACAAGAGACTGCTGGAATTGGATGCGCTCTTGCCACACTTGGCGCCGTCTCGAGACACCATTTTGAAGATGTCTTTGGAGCATGAGAAGGAGATGATTAAGAAAGCGGGATCGTTTGGACAGATCAGTCTCGCAGCTAAGAAAGACACCGATAAGCCGGGAGGAGAGGACGAAGCAGCAGCAGAAGCCGAGAAACGGAAGAAGGACGCAGAGCACAATCAGGTGTACGGATTGATTATTGGCCTACTGGAGATTGGCGCACGGGAACGAGCCTTTGAGATGATTTCGTGGTTCCAGAAGAGAGGAGTGAACCCTCTGACGTTTACACCGCTAACGACAGAGCTCTGTGCTGTGGTGAATGTGATGATTGAGGACGTGTACGCCTCGCTATCGTATCGCAGTTTGCAGCTTGTTAGTGATAAGAACGGAGCGTCTGGGACTCTATTGAAGAAGACGGCACCACATACCAGTACGAGCAACCACTACATTCGTCGCGAATCTACGCTAGAAGACTGCGTGTCGGAGGTTTTCCCCATTGTGGATATGATTGGCCCGCATTTGTTCCACGACCAGTTTCTGTTCCTGAAGCTGTTGCGGATCGTGGGCAAGTTGGTCGAAGATCACACAAAGAAGCTCAGCACTGCAGTGAATAAGGGCGAGAATGATACTGCTCTCCTGGACAAGGTGAAGTCTCTGCTGGTGAATACGTTTCTTCCTGCGATGTCTTTACAGGAGTGCAACCCAAGCACGGCGTTCTTGGTGTGGGAATTGATCAAGGGTTTGCCATGTGATGAACGCTACCGTCTGTATCTGCATTGGTTCGAGGCGTACGACAAGTTCCCGGAATTGCGTTTAAAAGAAGCGAAGGTAGTGCAGAGCACGCGCGGCGTCATGCGACGGCTTACAGCAGATCGAGCGAAGCTGTCGGCGCGCAGTTTGACGCACGTGGCGCACTCGAACCCGTTGATCGTGTTCCGCACGATGCTGCGTCAGATTCAGTCGTACGACAACTTGATTCAGCCTGTGGTGGACTCGTTCAAATTTGTGACGCCACTGGGGATGGATGTGCTCTCGTTTGTTCTCGTCAGTGAGTTATCAAGACCCCAGAAATCCATGAAGTCGGACGGCACCCACGTCTCGCTTTGGCTCACTTCGCTGGCGAATTTCTCAGGCAGTTTCTATCGCAAATATCCGAACGTGGAGCTAGCAGGTCTGCTGCAATATCTCATCCAGCGTCTGCAGAACTGGGCGTCCGTAGACCTCATTGTGTTGAGTGAACTACTGACGAAGATGGGTTCGTGTTTGAGCTTGGAGGATATCTCGGTGAGTCAGTTGGAAGCGCAGGCTGGAGGGCCACACTTGTGGTACGAGCCGACAGATCCCAAGTTCCAGAACCGCCGAGCCATCCCGAGACTGCGAGATGCTCTGATCAAGCGAGATTTAGCGCTGCCATTGTGCATTTTGATTTGCCAGATGCGCAGTCGTATCGAGTACCATGAAGATCGAGAGCTGCCACACTTGAAGCTGCTCGGTCGTGTGTTTGACACGTGCCAGCTAACACTCAGTCAGCTTCTGCAGTTCCTGGGCGGAGTGGTAGACCCGTTAGTATACCGGAAGATGCTGCCGTCGATCACGACTCTAGTTCGCGACTATAACGTGCAACCAGAGCTTGCGATGTCTCTGTGTCGTCCGGCGATGCGCAGTGATGATCCAGTTCTGCAAACTGCCCCACGAGGTGTGCACGCCACTGGTGGTTCGAATACAGCAAGCAACGGAGCGGCTACCAATGGCGCAGCAGCCAATGGCACATCTAGTGGAGAAAAATGCTGGTACATGTACAACGCTGATTTCCTGGAAGACATCAGACAAGCCCTGTGTACCAGTGATGGACCTGACAGCAAGCCCAAAGACCCATTCACTGGACTAACACCAGAAGTGTACGCGACATTCTGGGGCCTCAAGTTGTACGACATCCACATCCCGTTCCAGCAGTACGAGTCGGAGATCCTTCGTCTGCGTAACTCTGTCACGTCTGGAGCAAACGCCTCGCTTAGCGCCAGTGAGCGAAAGAAGCTGAAAGAGAAGACCACACAGATGATCGATGTGCTTACAACGGAGCAGAAAGACCAGGTGGCGCACCGGAAACGCGTGTACGAACGACTAGAGAATATGAAGAGCAAGTTCTTCAAAGATGAACCCAACGACCACCAGACCGCGATCGATGAATTACTGCAGAAATGCGTGATCCCTCGCTCTCTCATGTCGCCTGAAGACGCGCTGTTTGCTGCCAAGTTTATGGAGCGCTTACACACTTTCTCCACGCCGCAGATGAGTACGCTGCAGTACATCCACAAGGTCAACATGAAGGTGTCGGCGATCGTGCTGTGTGCTACGGAGCGCGAGGCGAGCAACTTTGGTATCTTCATGAAGGAAACGCTGGGACTTATTCTGCGCTGGTACCAGAACGGAGCAACGTACGACGACGAAGCGATTCACGGGAAAATGGGCTTGAGTCTGGATCTGCACGACGACAAGAAGCGTCTCGCGCATCGCCAGTTCAAGTCGGCGTATGCTCGTTGGCACAAGCAGTTGGAGCTCGTGTACACGACAGCGCTCTCGAGTGGCGAGTACATGCCTATTCGTAACTCTCTTGTGGTCCTTACGAAGCTCATTGACGTGTTCCCGGCGGGTCGTGGAACAGCCGACGTGATTCTGGGGATCGTGGAGAAGCTGACGAACGAGGACCGTGAAGATATCAAGATCATGGCCAAACGTTACTTCGCTCTCTTGACGAAGAGGAAGACGTCGCTTATCGACGACAGACTGCTACGTAGTCGCAATGCTCCAGCTAAGTCTCCGACTGCGACGTCCGATGAGAAGAAGAATTCGACGGACGTTGCTGAGGACGAGAAGAACGATAACGATGGCGACAAGGACAGTGATGTCAAGCGTGAAAGCTCGACGAAACCAGCGCTAAGTCGTGTAGAGAGTCAGGAACTGGAAAGCGGCGAGATCGTGATGGGAAAAAGCAACAGTAGCAACAATTTGTTGTCTGCGAGGACGAAGCAGCGAGACTCGGAGCGTGGACGTGGAGCTGAGCGCAATCGTAATAGTCGTGGTGGACGTGGTGGCTCGGATGACCGTCGCAGTCGTGTCGAACGTGACGAGTCTGAAGACCGTCGAGACAGCTCGGCTGAAGCTCCTCGTGAACATCGTGCGAGTGAAGAAAGACGCGGTCGTCGTGACCACCGCGAGTCTTCCCCCACAGCTGGTCGCAGTAGCTCGATGAACAATCGCGCGAACGAGACGCGTGAACGCAGTGGCTCAGCGTCCCGCAAACACGAAAGATCTCCAGCTCCTCGTCGCAGTCGATCGGGTGAGCGGGCGGATGATCGTGGTAACACTAGCGATAACCGTCGCTCATCTCGCGAACGTGGACGTGAACGGGGCCAAGCTAACCGTGGAAGAGGTGAAGGCGACCGAAGAGGACGAGGAGATCGGGACTCGAATGCACAGCTCAGTCGTAGTCGCAGTCATGATCGTCATGATCGCAATCAGAGAAATCGTGGTTCAATGCATGGACGTGAAGACAGCGAAACAAGGAAACCATTGGAGTCGAAGCCAACCAGTAGCCCAGCACGAAACGAGGAACCAGTCAAGTCAACGTCACCAAAACCAGAGCGGAATACTGAGCAGTCTACGCCTGAAGCTGGTCGTAAGAGAGCACGACCGGCAGAGCAATCGGAGGCTGCGTTGCGTCGGCAATTGACAGCTGAGAAGGAGGCCAAGGCGAAGGAGCAGCAGCAATCTGGAGAGCGCGCGAGACCGGCGGCACGTGAGCGTACACGGCCCCCGCTTCCGTCCACTTCGACTGCATCCCCCGCTGGGATGGTCTCGCCCACTGGGACGCCAACGGGTAATGCACGCAAGATCGTGTCGCTCGTGTCTTCGTCCCGCAAACGTGAGCGTGAACCTGCGAGTGAAGGCGAGACGCCCACTGGCAACCCACCGGAAGGCAAGCGGCGTCGTGACAATGGCAACGGTAATGGGGGTGAACAGAAGGGCGGACACGATGATAAACGCAAGCGCAAGAACAAGGGCGGAGGCGATGGCAACAAGGGCAACCAGCAACAGCGTGATCAAGTGTAAGTGGCCTGTATTATCACGTCGTAGAACTAGTGTTAACGTGTTTTCTTGATGTTGTACAGGCGTGGACGTCAAGACCGTGGTGGCCGCAATGGAGGCAACAACGACAGACGTGGAGGCCAAGACGAACGTGGCGGGAATGGTGGCAATGGAGGCGGCCGTCGACGCGATCGCAATGACAACCGTGGAGGTCGCCGGTAGACTGAGACTGTAGAGACCAGGAGCGACTGATTCATGAGCATTTAGCAGAGTATGAGAATGACTAGATAAGGAACAAGAATTTCCCATAGCTGCAACTGATCCGTCTCGTGCACCACGCAAGTCGCACAAACCAACAAGAGACCGTCAGCTATTGAGATCTCATAATGGCGCTGCGTCGTCTCGTGCTCGTGTTCCCTGGCCAGGGCAGCCAGCGTGTGGGTATGGGCAAAGATCTGCTTGCGGACTGGCCGCGTATTGTCGGCGACGTGCTGGAAGAAGCCAGCGAGGCGACAGGGCTCAGTCTACGGCGTCGGATGACGGAAGGGCCGGCGGATGAGCTCACGCCCACGCACGTGGCTCAGCCGGCGCTGCTGTCGATGTCAGTGGCAGTACTGCGTGTTCTACAGCATGAGACGGAGCTACCGCCTGTGCATTTCGTTCTGGGTCATTCATTAGGTGAATACTCGGCGTTGGTGGCGGCAGAAGCCATCGAGTTCGCGGATGCGGCGCGTCTCGTGCATCTGCGTGGTTTGGCCATGCAGCGAGCTGTAGCTCCTGGTGTAGGCGCCATGGCGGCTCTAATGCCCGTACGCCCCGAAGACGCCGAGTTACTGTGTCAAGAGGCTGCAAGCAGCATGGGGAAGGTGTGTCAAGTGGCCAACTACAACTCCAACAAGCAGACGGTCATCAGTGGCGACGCACAGGCTGTGGACGCTGCTATTGCTCAAGCTAAAGCCTCCAAGAAGGCACGACGCGCTGTGCTACTGGATGTGAGTGCTCCGTTCCACTGCGAAATGATGGAACCGGCGAAGCTGGAGCTGCACGAGCATCTACAGCTGCTACTACGTGATAATAAGCTCCACAAGCCGAAGGTTCCTGTGGTGTGGAACGTTGAAGCGGAGGCGACGACCAAGACGCCCCAACAGATCGCTCAGGTGCTGGAGAAGCAGGTTGTGCACGCCGTTCGCTGGAGTGACAGCGTCGACTACTGCGTGGCTAACGGGGTGGGCCATTTCCTGGAGTTGGGCGCCGGTGGTGTGTTGAGTGGCCTCATCCGACAGCAAACCGGTAATAGCGACGTGTTGACCACGAGCTGTGGGTCAACGGACGAGATCAAGATGTTCCTGGAGCAGCAGCATTAAAAGTGGCGGTGCCCTAGAGTTTCGTCAATCAAGTTTAAGCAACCAGAGCCGCTGTGTGCTCTGCTTATTCGTTGTCTCTCTCTCTTACTTTTCGTCCAGAATCCAGTTCCTCAGCAGGCAGCTCTCTTGTGTCTTTGTGTGATGCGGCTGCTCACGCGTTAGGCGCTCGAGTCTGATCCGATATTAAGAAAGCGTAAGTCTACTTACTCCTCCTCCTCCAGGGCCGGCGGCTCGCCGATCTCACTGGACTTGAAGAAGAAGCGCTTACTTTCAGGGCCACTGGGACGTCGCACGAGGAACTCCGTACCTGCGCGCTTAGCCAGCGCCTCCTCTCTGCAGCAGCAAAAGGGACGACGTCAGCACCACCAGCTACAATAGCGACAAGGTCAATAATTTCTCACCTGGCAAAGACCTCCGAGTCCGTCTCCGGGACGTTGGTGAGTCCCAAATAGAGCACAATGGGACCGCCCAACATTCCCATGTAGGCCGAGTATTCCCAGCCCTTGCGCTCGAACCGGTGCGTGCCCTACAGAATGACAATTGTGGTCATGATGAATGTAAATATCACGATAGGAGCCGCTGAATACGCACATTGTTGCTAATCATCGCAGTCTCGGGCATGTGTACGTGCGGCTTAGCGTGGCTGGCGAAGCCGCGAGCGCCCAGCAGGCGCACACAGCGGGTGAAGGGCTGCATGGTCGCTCAAGTAAGTGTCAGGTGGCGTCTGCGCCGCACGATCCCTCGGAACAAAACGGGCAGTTCAAACGAGTTATCTCATTGGATGAAATAGAGGTGTATTCGGATAAGGGACACTTTCAACCGGACAGTTTACACTGCAGTTCACTATGGGAGGACATGGACCACCAGCACAGACATGGCTACAGTTTCTTGATGGTTGAAGTTGTCCGTCAAGTTGAGGATGTTCACTGTTGTCGCCGACCGTAGGTGCTGACCGCCATCTTCTCAGCGATATGCATCTCCTGCACAGCCAGAACAGTGATATTTAGCCAGGAACGAGCTTAAAACTGTGTTCTCTTTACCTTGAACGGTGCCATTGCAATCGGGTGTACGGCAGCAACATCCACGAGTGCCTCTCGGTGGCTGCGAAGCGGTTGATCCAGAGTACCTCGGGAGTATTCGCCACTGTAGGAGATCACACCCATCACGTCCGATGTGGCTGGATTGATAGGTTGACGACGGCGCGCAGACTCGGCGAGTAACAAGATGAGCGGCTTGGCCACACCAGGAAGGAGAGGCACCAATTGCTGGAGATGTTCGTTAGCGCGGGAGTGGATGAAGATCTGCAGATGAAAACTGTTAGTAGGTGGCTTGGAATCGGAAAGGCTAGTTAACTTACTTGTGAGGCTACGACAGTGAGAAGCTCATTCTTGAGAGCCGAGTCGCGACGAGCCTCGATCACGCTCATATCTGCGTCGACACTTTCTGCCACGGCTGACAGGGAGGCAGTCGCGGCTTGCAGCTTCTGCTGAGCCTTCTCGAAGTCTGGTGGACTCCTTTTCTGCGCTTCAGCACTGCGCTGAGCCGAATCGAAGTCGTTCAGCTGCAGCGTACATGATTGTCAGATTAGGTGTAAGCTGCACAGACCCTCTCATTCGCACCTTTTGCTTCAGATTTCGGAGCTGCTGGCTCAGACCGGCATTGCTGCCTCGTAGTTCCTGCAGTGGTTGAACCACCGTTCGATACTGTAGAGATTGAGCCACGTCGAACACGTTTTGCTGCAATGACTGCTGTATCTCCTCCACACGGAGGGAGCTTTGGGCGAGAGCTTTAACTCCTGGAGTCTGATCACCCGACTCGACTGTAATCATAGGACACAAGTGAACTAAAGTGTATCCAAGGCGATGCTGTAGATCTAGAATTTACCTTCCTGAGCGTCCTGCATTTGAGACTCAAAGAAAGCCGAAGACGCGTGCATCAGCTGCGCTGTGGCTTGAGCGTATGCGTGTGTTGCATTTGTGTAGTGCGTCATTGCCTTAGAAAGCTCCTCCAGTCGATCATTGTAGCGGTTAAATCTGCAGATTGTGTTAAGACTAAGCTCTGACTTTTAGTTCTTTGCTCACACCTTTGGGTACGATATTCCAGCACCGGATCAAGGCCACCTTCGGAGCCAGCTCCAATCGACCGAGCAATCTCGTCCTTCAGCCTGTAAAGGAACAACCATCAGCACCTAGTTGACGTCCGGAAGAGAGTATGCCTAGCGCTCTCACCGCCGCGACCCGTCCTTCACGCCCTTCATGAGGGAGCCATCCTTCACATTCTTCATCAACTGTACACCAGCCTCTGGGTTAGCCACCGCTCATAGGACTGAGCCATCCATCACCCTACCCAAGACGCCATAGTCGCCGGTTTGAGGTTTGTCCAAAGATTAAACGACCCGTCGCACTCGCCCTGGATAGCTAAAACGGTCAATAGTCTTAGCCTGGATTGATAGTTCTCGAGAGTTACATGGTGGTATTCTGGCGGCCAAGGGTGAAGGCAATGCGTGCATGAGCAGCCTGTGGTTTTTATGCTGCTTCACTCAATCATTCCTCAATTCCCTATCTCTGACGACGTCTACCTTCAGTGCTACACCTTGTTCAAGATCATGAAGTTTGCTTTCGGATTCTACGCTCTGTCTACGTTGTTCCTACAATGTGATGCTCGTCCTTCGTTTGTGGCTCTAATTCCGAACGGCAGTGGAGTGACTGGTGTTGCTGCATTGGGTCATGTGAATCCTTCTGGTGGAGGAAGGACGAATCCGTTCGGCGAGGCCTTTGGAGCTGCCGGCCGTGCGTGGACGAAGGAGCTATGCGAAACGGATTCGGATGGCGATGGTGCTACGAATGGCCAAGAGCTGGGTGATCCATGCTGCACGTGGTCGCCCTCAACTCGCTTGTCGTCTTCAAGTGTACCAACTCACCCTGGTGTCGCCAACCGCTTCTCATCTGATCAACTCGCTGCCATGACCTGCGGTGGCGAGGCGGATCTCACTGCAGTTGCTTCCAGTGAACCTGCATCGTCAGCGTCATCCCTATCTGTTTCTGGATCTCAGGCGTTGACGTCGTCAAGCCTTGACAGCAGTGCCGGTGGCTCCTTTGACGACGTGGTAGCTCCAACGCTTCAGCCTCGCCTCTCTCCTGGCCCGAAATTCGACCAAACGTCCCCAACTCCCGTCATTTCAGACGCTGAGAGCCTGAAAACGTCGGTAGTTGTTCTCTACTGTTTCAGCATTATCGTCTTAGCGCTAGCGATGTAGGTCGATGCAGGTTACTGCTCAAGTTGAAGTTACAGTAACCCCAACACGTAACCCATAAGTGTAACCCTTTCAAAATTGAGTGTACCCATACTTGTTGCAGCAATGGATGGGGACGGAGGCCAGCGCGCCGACCTCTTTTCGCGCGTCCTCCGCGGCGCTGAGCAAACCACAGTAAGCGACAACAGTAGCGCTGCTATTGGTGGGTTTTTAGTGTGCCTGGACGTTCCAGCGGCCACAGAATTCGGTGTGGACTACGAGGTTTTCCGCACCGGCCCTAAATTTCAGGGTGTCAAGTTCCTCCCATTAGGAATCCACTTCGTGCTCTTCCGCTCTCACGAACAGGAGCACGGTATCCGTCAAGGGTTTTTCATTAATGTAGAGCGTCATGCACAAGTTATTGTGCGCGAGTGGAGCTTGGAGAAGGAGGAACTGGGGCCGCCACGACCAGGACTTAACGTGGAAAACCTTGAGCGTACGTGAAGCGGTGATGTAGCAATGATTTACGAGGTCAAGTGCTGACGCTGCTATTGCAGGTGCTGTGCTGTCGTTCCAGCTGGACAGCGGACTGGGGCCGTACCCGAAGCAGCATCTGAAGACGTGGCAGCGACTTTCCAACTTCATTTCTGCCTCCGTGCTGCAGGTCCGAGCCTTGCTGATGGTGATGACTAGCTGGGGACGTTGATACTGACTCGACGACGATATTTTGCAGCGCTGTGGTGTGGAGTTTGGAGCCATTCTTCTACCAGGTGACGCGGTTGAAGATGCTGCAACCTCATCCAAGACCCAGGACGGAGTTATTCCATACTTCCCTGATCTACCTCGGACAGTCCGGTTTACTGTGCTACAGAAGACACGAACAGATCTGGTGGCGCAGGCGAGGACAGCTTATCACTTCGATCGAAGGTGCGCGACTGAGAATTACAATTCTAGCAAGAATGAAGTATATTGATGGATATTGTGTACACAGCCAGCGGGTTGAAGAGCTGATCGAGACGGAGTTTGGCGGCGACTGGAAGGAACTCATCGGCGAATTGCAATTATCGTTCCTGGTTTTCCTGCAGTTGTCGTCTCTTGCAGCACTAGAACAGTGGAAGCAGGTAAGCTTGCCCAGCAGCATAGAATGGTTGCCAATATTTTTAATGTCTAATTACGATGATCTGTAGTTCATTGCACTGATGTGCTCGTGCGAGCGAGCACTTTCGTCACATGTATGGCTGTTCCTGGCTTTCATCAAGCTCTTCAGAACACAATTAGAGCAGGTACGTAGATCATAGCCCAGGTGCAGTACTGTATCATTTTCACTCAAACTGTATTGCTGTCGCCAACAGATCCCAGAGGACTTTTTCCAGGACGAAACGACTAGCGAGAACTTCTTGAGGCCCTGCTTGCTGTCTCTACTGGAGTTGATTGAGGATGACGACGCTCCATCGCAGGTAATACACACAGATGGACCGTTTTCCGAACCGATGCTGACAACATGATAACTCACTCGACTCTTACGGTTTCGCTCGCAATCCGACAGCTCCGACTGAAGGCCTTCCACTTACGACAACTTCTAGCCAGTCGCTTTCATTGGGACTCGACTGCTGAGTTAGAACTGGACGAGTTTGCGCCGGTTGTAGTGCCAGAAGAAGAGGTACGTGCACTTACTAGTCCCTGTGATATTCGATATCGTATCTTTGAAAGATACCATGCCACGTACGCCAAGTACCGTGGTGAGAGTGATGGTCAATGGTTACTGAGACGTTTGCTGCTGCTCGTCGTAGCTCCTCGACGCTGCGACCGCCACGACGATGCAAAACGATGTTGACACGATCTCTCCATTGCCACCCATGCCATCCGCTGCCTCTGCGGCGCTGCACCGCCATCAACAAGAGGAGCAAGAGAACGCGGCAATTGCCGGTGCATTTCTTGGCAACTAATTTGGCGGGAGAGCTTGATGCCAAGATCGGGTCTCGTTCATACAAAATGCAAGTCTTTCTGTACCACATCAATAGTACACCAACCCGTTGGTTGGCTGGCCCGTTTGGCTCACCATTTTTCAGTCCCCCTTCGCCCGCGACAAGGGGAGAGCTTTAGAGAGAACTTGATGGAAGCATGAAGCCGCAGCACCCCAGTTCCAACCCCGGCGGCCGCGGCGGCTACGGCCCAAACAGCGGCGCGCCGCACCCTCGTGGCAACCCGCACCACCTCGGTATGTAGCCATTTTAAAAGACTCTTTCGAAGTCGAGTGCTGACAGGCCGCAACTGCCTTGGTGTAACTTCTCAACAGAGTACAGACCGAAGGGCACCCAGCAGCAACATGACACGCCTTCACACGCACAGATGACTCCGCCTGGATCCGATGGCATGGACGTCAATGCGCCAGTCTTTAAGCAGGGCGGAGGCTTCAATCTGCAGCATGTACGGCTGTCTACACTTTTCTCCCCGATCTTTTCGTACTGTACTCACTTGTCGATTGCTATTGCAGACTGCGAGACCCTTTAATGGCCCAATGGGATACGGACCTGCTCCGCCTATGGGTGGACAGCCAGGGCCTGGGATGCCTCAGCAGATGCGCGGTCCTCCGGGCAGTCACCACCACCAGCAGCAACGTATGCGACCTCCACGAGGCGCCATGCACCAGCAACAGCAATATATGCCTAGAGGAGCGATGAATCCAGCAGCACAGGGATATTATCCGCCTCAGATGCAGATGCCGCCTCCGTATATGATGGGTCCAGGCCAATACATGGGAGGCCATCCCATGTACGGGATGCCACCTATGCAAGATATGGGGATGGGGATGGGTGGGATGCCCATGCCCATGCCAGTTCCACAGCATCAGCCACCGCCTAAGCGTGAGCGTAAGAGACTGGAGATCGTCGACCCCAAGACAGGAAAACCAATTGTTCTCGGTCGCAGCTCCTCTTCGGAGGATGCCAAGGCAGTTTCCAGTACTAGCACCACAGCACAGAGTACCCCACAGAAGAAGGAGGAAGTCACCCCTCCAGCGTCGGAGGCTGATACGAAACAGAATGGAGCAGCGAAATCGCCCCACAAGTCTCCTAGAAAGAAGAGTGCGAACGAGAAACCTGCAGAAACTGGTAAGGATGCGGCTGCATTGAACGGTGCTAAAGAAGAAAAGGCGGAGTCAGCAGTAGTGTCGAAGGAGACGAAGAAGGTTGGTGACAAGAGTGTGGAGAAGACTGTAGAGAAGAAGTCGGAGACTAGCAAGACTGGGACAACGACTACTACTACTACTACCACCACTACTACGACGACCAGTGCTGAAGCCTCGTCCCCGAAGAAGAAAGAGACCACTAGCAAGGAGAAAACCGAAGAGACTGCGTCTGTCAAACAGCAAAAGACCGCTTCTCCGAAGAAGAAGGGCTCTGAGCAAGATGCTGCCCCAACTGCTCTTCAGCAGAAGGCACAGGCTGTGGAGAAGGAGGACAAGGAGAAGGCTGATGCTACAGAGAAGCCGACAGCTAACGCAGTGGAGAAAACGACGGACGTGAGTGTCACTCTGCAGAAAAGATCGGGTGACAAGGTGACATACTCGCTGGAGCTTCTGATGAGGTATGGATCTGGCATACAGGAACACAATGCGTTGTTATATCGTGCTCATACCTATCTATTTGCTGGTTTTGTAGCTTCCGTGAGCAATTCAAGGAGCTTCCAGCCGCTACAACTGCTCCGGATTCGAAGTGGCCTTCGATGGAGATTACTAGCGAAGTTGCAGTCTCTCGTGGTGGATCTAGGGGAGGTCGCAATGGCGCTGGATGGGAACGTGGCGAAAAACAATCCGGTGGATCAGGCCGCGGATCACGCGGTGGCTCAGGTGGCGGCCAGTGGGCACGGTCTCAAGATCTTCCTAAGAGAAGCGGTAGGGGAGAACGTGGTGGCCGTGGTGGCCGTGGCGGTCGTGGTGGTCCTCCGGATCCGCCTCTTCTGGACGGTCCTGTTAAGCCTTTGACCCGCTCAGCCAACCGCTGGATCCCTACGAAGAACGCGTCGACGTTGGAAGTGACGAAGAAGAACGTGAACGGTATCATGAACAAGATGACCCGCGAGAAATTCGACCGTCTGGCTGGCCAACTGACTAGCATCAATATGGAAAGCCTGGAGATGCTGCAAGCAGTCATCAAGATCATCTTTGACAAGGCCGTTAGCGAGCCAAACTTCTGCGATATGTACGCAGATCTGTGCGTGCATCTGGAATCCAACTGGAAAGTCTGGTCTTTCTTGAAGATCGTTCAGAACGACGATGACAAGATGTTCTACTGGACTGCGATGTCCGATTCGGACTCGGAAGTTGTTGGGCCGTTTGACGATGTGACGAGTGCCTTGGAATCGGCCAGTGGAGACGAGTTTGAACCTGTCCCCGCTCCTGCCAACATGAAGTTGAGTGAAGTCCGCGTGCGAGACCACAAGTTTATTAAGGTGTGGGTAGAAGAAGACCCGAACGAGCCTCGGTACTACTGGTCAGGCCAAGACCTTGATGATTTGGGAGATGACCAGGTGCTGAATGGTCCATTTGAAAGCCACGAGGTGGCCAGTCGAGTCGCTATTAAGACGTGTTCTTTCAAGCGCATCCTGCTGAATGCATGCCAAGAGGAATTCGAGAAGGATAACATCTACGAAGAGCTGGAGAATAGCTTCAAGAAGGACAAGGAAGAAGGCAAAATCACGCCACAGATGGAAGCTGACTACGAGGAGAAGCGATTGATCATGAAGTTGCGCATGCTGGGCAATATCCGCTTCATTGGTGAACTATACCGCAAGGGAATGCTGCAAGAACGTATCATGCACGAGTGCATCATGAAGTTGATGGATGTTCGTCTCAATAGCGACGGCGTGCTGGTTTGTGTGCACCCGAACAATCCCCCCGATGAGGAGAGCATTGAGTCTCTGGCTAAGCTGCTGACCACCATGGGTAAAGACTTGGACAAGCACGGAGCGCAGGGCTTCATGCCGTCGTACTTCCACTATTTGGAGAACAAGCTGGTGAAGGACAAACGTCTGTCATCTCGTATTACCTTCATGATCAAGGATGTCATCGAGTTGCGCCAGCATAGATGGGAACCGCGTCGAAAGGAATTGAAGCAAAAGACGTTGAACGAGATCCGAAAGGAGGCAGAGCGAGAGGCCCGTGCGCCGCCCAGTAGCGTACCCAGTGGAGGAGGCCGTGACCGTGGAGATCGCGACCATTTCCGATCAGATCGTCGCTCCAATTCGTCCCGTGATGGCTTTAACAGCGGTCGGTCGACTATGGCACCAGTGTATCAACATTCGCAGTCAATGAGCACTCGGAGCAGCAGCAGCAACAAGCAGATGACGCTCCCACGTGGCATCGGTGCGCGTGATGACTCCGTGAAGACCGGGCCGTCGGGTAGACCTGCTGCCTTTGGTGTTGCTTCACGGCAAGGCGGACGTGGTCCTAGTGGATCACCGGCGAGCTTTCCGAGCAGTCGTCGTGGTCCAGCTGCTGGTGCGAAGAAGCCGCAATCGCCTGCTCCTCGTGCCAAGGTGATCCCTCCGCTGGACGATGAGGCTCAGGAGAAGATTGGCAAAAAGGCCAAGTCCATCGCTGAGGAGTATGTATCCATTGTTGACCTGAAGGAAGCTGAAGCGTGTCTTGTTGAGGTCCAGAAGGAGTTCAAGAACCACGAGGACGTCAACCGGGTGTTTGCTTTCGAGGTATTGAAGGAGGCTATCGACGCCAAGGCAGAAGCTCGGGAGAAGATGGTGGAGATGCTCGAGAAGTTGAGTCTGGAGACCAAGACTCTTACATTTGTGGGCATCCGCTACGCCATTGAGAAGACGATTGAACTGTGTGGAGATCTTTGGTGCGATGTGCCCAAGCTGCACGAACACATGTCGGAGTTTGTGGTGCGGTTCATGAAGGATTCTTCTCTCACGTGTGTCTCGGTGGATTGGGTGTTGGGTGGTTGTCTGCAGTCGGTGGACAAGGACGCGATGGAGGAACTGATTGATGGAGGTTTCCTCGCTGCGGTTCTTGGTGAAATTCTGAAGCTGTTGAAGGCTGTGGACGTTGAGAAGGCCAAGAAGGAAATCAGCGCAACGAATGTGACGATTCTCAGTGTGTTCCCGTCGTACAAGCAGTCCCCCAAGGACATGCAGGAGTGGATCAAGAAGTACGAGCTCGAAGATGTGTTGCCGTTGGAACCTGCGTTCGGTCTTGTGGAGCGTGTGAGCAAGGCTTCTTCGTATGACGAAGTGGTGTCGTACATCACGAAGAACATCCCGGAGACGATGCGCAACGACCCGCTCTTTGCGACGTACACGTGTCTGTTTATTCTGAACTTGTCGAAAGAGGGGGAGCTGCCGTCTGCTGAGCGATGCATGCTACTTATGGGCTTCTGCGGCAACACGGACACTCAGGTTCGGCTTGTTTCAGCAATTGTGCAGACGAGAACTGACAACGGTAAGGATTCCGGAACGATATGTATTGTATGTGATAACTAATTGTGTTTGCTTTGGCAGATGAAGTGAAGAAGCTCCTCAAGCATTTAGTGAAGGAAGGCGCAGTGCTGGCGCCGGCCTTCAGCAAGTGGCTTGAGCTCAAGAACGACAATAGTCTGAGTAGGATGCGTGTGCAGGAGGAGTTGGGCGAGTTTGTAGAGGAGCTGGCCCGCACCAAGTGATTAGCGTCTAGTACTCTACAACTGCTACTGGACTAGTTAGCTTAAAGCAACAAAAAATGAAAGTAAAAAAGACCATAATGCTATAGTGAGAAGTTAGAGTTGCGTAAGCTAGAACTTGATCGCTCGCTGAGACTGTCGATGCGTCAAGGCTCGTTCCTGTTCCTGCAACTACAAAGGCAATCAGCACAAACCAGTTTTTGTTCGTAAAATCGTAGCACGCCAATAACTCACTTCTCGAGATCGATTCTGAGTCTCGGAGACGACGTCTTCCGCTTGACTTTGAAGAGCACCAGCTTGTTGATGAATTTTCTCTAAAAGTCGAGCATTCAGTTGTACCTCAAGGCGAGTTTGGTCGGCCTGAAGACTACGTAGTTCACGTTCGCGCATTTGTTCAAGTAAAACATTCTGCTGGGAGCGATTTCTCATTGCTCGCTGCTGTTTGGCAATTTTTTCACGACGGTCGGCCTCGATGCGCTCCTGTTTCCACAGGTCCGCCTGCTTGTTCAAATCTCGCTTTAAGGCTTCTTCACGGTCTTTCTTCTCCTGCATCTGGATGCGAAGATAATCCTGTTGCGCATGACAACGAGCTTCAGCATCTTCTCGTCGCTTGCGCTCGTCTTCAGTCTGTTTCTTCGTGTATTCTTGTTGATAACGGCGCACTCGTTCATCTTCCTCGCGAGCCTTGGCATCCGTCGTGGCCTTTGCAGTATCGTCGAATATTTTCATCTTCTTCTTGATGTTCTCCGCCATGGTTTCGACCTGCTTACGACGTGCTTCATCTTTTTTCTTCTCCATGGCGATGTATTCCTCTGCTAGCTTCAATTCTAACTCACGCTCTTGTGCTTGATGCTGGCGCTTTTGCTGAAGTTGGGCCTCGTTCTCCTGGAAAACTTGCTCTACACGGCGTTTCTCCGCGTCCTTCCTCGCCTTCTCGCGCGCCAAGTCGTCCTTCCTCTGTTTCTCCAACATCTCGGCTGCGTGTTGTTCCTGAGCTTTCTTGACCACCCGTTCTCTCTCCATCTGAGCCTGTTTCGCTAGTCGCTGCTGCGTCTGGACTGCAATGAGTTGATGTTCACGTTCGAGACGTTCCTGCTCCTTCCTACGTTCCTCATCTTCAGCCTGACGAAGCTTCTCTAACGTCTGGCGATGGAACTCGGCACTCTGCTCACGCTCCTATTGAGTGACGTTGCGCTTACGTGAAACTTGCGCCTCCAACTTAGATGTATACTCTAGACGCTCACGGAGCTTCCGTTCTTTAATGCGTTGAGCCTCGATTTGCTCTTCAACGGAGCTGTACTTGACAATCTCCTCCCAGATGCCGTTGTCGCGGTCTTTCTTCGGAGATACGCGAGGTGGTAACGAGAACCCTACACTCTTCTGCTGTAGTTGTGCCTCAGTAAGGTATCTGTCATCATCTTCAATAGTTCGACTGGTAATGCCGCTAACAGTTGAGGGGCTTCGTCCACCTTTGGCATCCCGTACCGAGTTGTTGTTCGAACGCTCTTTGCTGTTAGATGATCGTCTTCCGGAGTATCGTTCTCGCGAAATACGGCCGTTGGTTGGTTTGGATTGCTCTTGGTTGTGTGGCGACGTTTTTCTAGCTGTTTTTGCTGCTAGCGACATTTGTTCCTGTCTGCGTGTTGTTAGTTCGTTGACAATCTTCGCCAGCGCTTCATCCGATACATCTGCAGCCGGGACTCCTCGCTGCTTGAGGATTCGCAGGACCGCTGACGCCATTTCTTCAGCCACTTTCGGGGTCTTTCGCAGCTTCTGTTGCAGTCGTGCACACATTGCGAGACGCAAACTCTCTTTCATCTGCATCTGCCGAGCTTTATCTCGTAGACGCTCGCGATCTACTGTGCGCACTGTACTCATCGACGTCACCGAATGCATGTCCGAAGCTCTGGAGTTCGTGGCTCGTAGTAGAGGCTTCCCGATCATGTTGGGGGCGTAGGGCGCTGCAGCTTGAATAGCTGCAATGAGCTCCTTGACACGACTGATCTATTTTTTTTTCGCTTTCACTCTAAAATAGAACTTTTTCAGTTGGAAACATCAACTTCAGGATTTTATATATTGGATACGATATAAATATCCAAAGGAGACCGACATATCCAGTGGACCCGTGGATAATCCACCTGCAGCAGCAATTTTCAACAATGACAACCATCGAGGAGGTGACGGCACGTCTCGCGGCCGCGCAGAAGCGCCTGGACGCGCTGGAGCGCTCGCTAGATGACCACGAGGGGGTGAAGCGCGTGAAGAAACATCTCCAGCGCGAGAAACTGGCCAGCGCCGCACTCAAGACGGCGCCCAGCGACTATTACTCTTGGACGCTCGACCGAAGAGCGTAAGGGCTCTGACATTATTCGAAGAATCCCACAATACTTACAATAAATTATATACTGATAGGAAATTCTTGGGATGCGACGTTCCGCACTTGTGCAAGAGTATCATCGTGGAAAACGTGGCGTGCATCAACAGCGGCATCGAGGATCCGCTCAACAGCCGGTAACACACGTTTCCATTCAAATCCTACAAACAATGTACTGACTGACCGTTGCATTGCCGTTGCAGTTACTACTGTGTAGTGCTGCAATACAACTCGAAGCTGGATGCCGAGCAGCTCCGCCGCTTTGTGCGTGAGAGTATCCCCGAGGCGGACCGTCCGCCCAAGAAGAAATTCAACTTCCAACACGCTCCCGGAGAGGTAAGACGACCGTGTTGTTTGGATGGTGTAGTTGGTTATAGTACTGATACAGCTGATTTCTTTCAGGCGTCGGAGGAGCTGACGGGCTTTGGCCACAACGGAGTTTCCACGTTCGGCATGAAGACGTTCATTCCGGTATTTGGGTTTTCTGTGCTTTGGAATAATTTTCGTTTGCCTAATGCACGCTTCTATTTGGCGTTAGGTGGTCGTGGCTGGGGCTATTACTGAGCTGAAGCCGTCATTTCTCTGGCTTGGCGGGGGTGCGGAATCTGTGAAGCTCCGCATCAGCGTGCAAGATCTGGTGAAGGCTTTGGGAGCACGCGTGGCTGACGGCATCACGACCCTCCGAACGGACCTAGACAACGAGTGAATGTCTACTCTGCTCCAGTTCAACTTTTAGAGATCAATATGGGTCAAGTTGAATGAAGAGCTCACTGTGAAAAAAATACAAGGCACTCCTTTTTGAATGAGAACAATAGTTTTACGTCTCCACTCAGACTTGAAGCATGTTAACTTCGGAAGGATAGTAAATCCTGACTGTTTTTAGAGTGCTGACCATAGGCTGCCCTTCCTTCATCATTATTAAAAGTTTTTATTTCGATCACATCTCACATTTCACTATGAGCCAGTTCGTTCAGTCACCATCCACTGCATCATGCGTTGAATGAGTTTGGCAACACAATTCGATGGCATTGACACGTGCAGGTATTTCTACAGAGGACCAATCTCCATAAACCTTTCTACATTTAATATAATGCTTCAAATGA